CCCAGGCCGGAGGACAGTGGCACGGTCTCGGCTCACAACTACCTCTGCCTCCCAGGTTCAAGCAATTATCCTGCCTCGGCCTCCTGAGAAGCTGGGATTACAGGTGCTTGCCATTGTGCCTGGCTAATTTTTGTATCTTTAGTAGAGACAGAGTTTCACCATATTGGCCAGGCTGGTCTCAAACTCCTGACCTCAGGTGATCTGCTCGCCTAGGCCTCCCAAAGTGCTGGAATTATAGGCATGGGCCACTGCACCTGAACTTTTTGTCTTCTTGGGTAAAAAAAAATCAGGAACAGAACTTGGAGAACCCTCTTGTACCATTCTATATGATACCGAGAGGACTGAGGAAGACTTGGGATACTATATCTGCTTTAAGAGTGTTTAAAACCGCAAAAGTAAACATTAGCTGAGTCACTGACACTTATACACACATACAGACACATAATCCCTGAGGGAAAAAGAAGTGTAAGCAACTCCACATAAAAGGATATGTGTGCACAACTATTTCCTCATTCTTGTCCTAAGTTTTGTCCTTCCCTGCAGTTTGCTCAGAATTTTAGTGTATTGCTACTCCTGTCCTCTAAGAAATACTGCTTACCTCCCGCCACTTCCCCCTTGTACATACCATACTGCAAAAACTCAGACTTAAGAAAATTCATTTTTGACAAAGCAGTATTTCCTAGAGTACTCAGAGCAACTTTCAAAATCAACTAGGGAGCACATTTGAAATAAAGACTTAGTGGCCAGGTGCGGTGGCTCATGCCTGTCATCCCAGCACTTTGGGAGGCCAAGGCAGGTGGATCACCTGAGGTCAGGAGTTTGAGACCAGCCTGGCCAACATGGAGAAACCCCATCTCTACTAAAAGTATAAAAATTAGCCAGGGTGTGGTGGTGTGTGCCTGTAATCCCAGCTACTGAGGAGGCTGAGGCAGGAGAATTGCTTGAACCTGGGAGGCAGAGGTTGCAGTGAGCCAAGATCACACCACTGCACTCCAGCCTGAGTGACAAGAGTGAGATTAGGTCTCAAAAAAAAGAAAAAATAAAGGAATTAAGGACTTGCTGTGATTCACCCCAAACCTACTAAATCATTATCTCTGGAAGTGGATCTAAAATTGTGCACATTCTCATGTACAGTGAATTTTGGGAACCACTGAGCTAATGGAAAAAGGAACTAATACCTGCTGATTGGTTTTTGTGAGAATATATAAAGTAACTGATGCACAGTAGGTAAAATACAAAAGTCAGTGCTTACAACAGTGCCTGGCACACAGCAGGCACTCAATAAATGTTTGTGAACAAGTGAATTAAATGACTATTTTTGTAGGTGGCCCTGCTTTCCACCTAAGGCCAATCTCAAAATGTTTTCACTTTTAATAAAAACATAAATATGACTCCAAAAACATTGAGAAAAGGAATTCAGCTTTGGCTGAAGTTGTTATCTTCCAGGGAAATAATGTAAGAGGGTTTGCATTACACAATGAAGTTCCCTAAATATCCCTTTAGAAGGTCTCAAATTTCCTGGCAGGGTGCAGTGGCTCATGCCTGTAATCCCAGCACTTTGGGAGGCCAAGGTAGGTGGATCACATGAGGCCAGGAGTTCGAGACCAGCCTGAACAACATGGCAAAACCCCATGTCTACTAAAAATATGAAAAGTTAGCTGGGTGTGGTGGCACATGCCTGTAATCCCAGCTTCTCAGGAGGTTGAGGCATGAGAATTGCTTGAACCTGGGGAGGCGGAGGTTGCAGTAGCCCAGATTGTGCCATTGCATTCCAGCCTGAGCGACAGAGTGAGGCTCTGTAAAAAATAAAATAAAGATACCAAATTTCCACTCCTCATGGCAGCTACCACCACCTCCTTTACCACCTCTCCCTCTTTCAGAAGTGGACTGTTCTCCAGTTACCTCTCTGCTTTTCCTTCCCTTAGGCCATGCTCAAGCTGATCTTTCCTATATCAGAAGTCCGCCATAGATCCCCCCCTCCCCAAACACATATAGGAGAGTCTTGGCCTACTTGTTTCTCCAAACTGCACTCGCTCATCGATCTGCCCAACAAATCCAAGCATCTTCCCCAGGATTCACCCTCCACAGGATGCTGGAGCCAGGGTAGGAAGGAGAGATAATTTTAAACATTAGTAATTTATTTTCCCCAGTCACTTAGGACATCAATAATGGGTAGCTGCTTTTTTTTTTTTCAAATTTACCATCTTTACCACTTTAATTGTACAGTTCAATGGTAGTAAACACATATATACTTTTTTTTCCTTCTTACTGTTTTCCACCCCCTCTTTCCTCCCCTTCCCGGCTTCTGTGTTATTTGCTGTTATTCATAATTGGAAACAGTATCTTCAATTTAGCTACACTCTGAAGCAGGTGTGCTTTTTTGTTGTTTTGGGTTTGGGGTGTTTTTTTTGCTGTTGGTTTTTTGGGGGTTTTTGGTCTTGGACCAAATAAAATCTCTAAGTGGCTTTAGTCACCTCCCCCACCAAACTAAGTTATATTGTTACAATCCCAGCAGGAGGTTAAATAATTCCAGATGGACAATGGAATATTTGTTCCACCTTTAAAATATTTGTTCTTGTCTGAGTACTTAGCAATGAAAGAAGATTAACAAACAAATTAAGTTAAAGGTAAGCAATGATTCCTGGAAAGCAAGGCTGCTTTGGGGCTTTTGACAGGGGAACCATGCTGACCAAAATGAACTGTGTGCATTCTATTATACAAATTATCCTGCATTCTATTATACAAATCATTCAATCACCTTTCTCGCATTTTCTTTCCAAGGAGAAAATATGAGAAAACCACTCACTGGAAATGAGAGATTACCTTCCTATCCATCTGGCAAGACACTGTGTCTCTTTGCCTTATCCTATGGGATATATAGCCACTCTTTACAAAACAAAAAATCATGTCTTAGAAAGTAAAGCTCCAGAGCATAAAGAAAAGAGCAAGCAGGCTTTAAATCTGAGCAGTAAGGGGAATACCTATCAAACAATGAAAGGGTTGCACCCCATAGAATCCTGTGGGCTGGCTTTGCTTGTACATTACCCTTTCTGCTTTTGTATTTTAGATTCTGGGTTCCCTTTCTCTTGCTTTTAGACTTTGGTGGAAATGAATCATCCTTTCTAAGAAATGGCGTCTGCAATGATTCACAGGCAAGCTTACTGGGCACCACAATAGGAACTCCTAAGAAGGAGACCTAATTTTCATGATCTTGCTTCTATTATCTACTAGCTGAGAGATCCTGGCTGAAATTCTCATCATCTCTGTATTTCTGTTTCCCCACTAAGACAGGAATTAAGAAAGAGGTTGTGAGCCGATAAGGGAAAATGCACTGTAAGCAAGACCATGTATAGAATAGTATTTACATTTTAACCAGGATCTTAAGGCCCAGGTCTAATTGATTCTACCTCTTACCCCTTGGTAAACCACCTCAAAATAGCATACACTTGTCTGGAAAGCCAAGGTTTGAACACAACTCGGGGGAGCCCTCAGTGGAATTACTGTTTCTGAGTTGCCAGGAGAAGTTGGTGTTGGTAGAATTTGGGGTGGAGTTCCAAGTCAAGACTAGGGGTGAGATGTTTCAAGAATGGTTTTGATTAGGGATGTGTCTTGGTGTGTGTTACCGAGGACAGCACAGTGTTCAGCAGGTGTCCCTTACTTCTAGCTGCATACAGTCCTAGTCCCCTGCTTAAGTCTGCAACAGTTTTCTCCTGTCATGCCTACTGGTGCTGGGAACATACTTACAAACCCCTTGCCCAGACTCTAACAATGGCCCTAAGTACTGCCTTGAGGACACATAAGCTGCTGGTTAGGACACTGGAATTGAGTCCTTGTAGGAAAATTATTACATGTAGGCTGGTTGCAAAGCTTGATTTTGTGTCTTCTCTATTGTTCCTTTCCTTTACTACTTCTACTAGGTTACCAAGCAATGGGTCTAGGGGCTGCAAGTTTCTTAGAACTGGCCACACCATAGACAATACCCTAAATCGAGCCATGGTGACCCTCATGACCCACACATACACCTCTGGATGGCCTCCCGGAATTAGAAAATGTTTAGTAACTGGAAGACCACTAAAAGGGGAAGAATGATCCACCCCGGCAGCGCCTAATTAACTTGAGACATTCTTCTATTGTTCCTTATTCCTGCCTCAATTGATAAGGCAATTGGACTTTGTAGACGACCTTAGTCAACGTCATGACTCCAGACCCAACGACCCCCTCCCAGCTTGCAAAAACCGCCCTAAACTGTAAATTCTGTAACTTTCCACTGCCTACCCTAAACCTATAAAACCAACTCCTATCCCACCACCCTGTACTGACTCTTTTCAACTCAGCCCACCTGCACCCGGGTGAGTAAACAGCCATGTTTAGGGGGGCTCTTCATTCAGAGCACGCTTAACAGGGACCAGTGGGAGGGCAGCGAACCAGTGTATTCTGGACACTAGCTATAAGGATGTAGGGCTGTCAAGTGATCCCCAAAAGATCTTGTTTCTGGATTTACCCAACCATTCCAGGCGGCAAAACGGCTTCCTTGGGGACCCTCTCTCCATCCTCTACACCCTCCTTTCTGCAGCTAAGCCCTTCCTTAAGCAGAAAAGAGCAGGGTCTCTCGTCCAGCACCGCCTCCCCAAGCCCAGCCCCATGCCCCCCGCTAACCCGCCGTGCAAGGGTCTTCATTCACCCTTTACCTCTGCCCCGAGGGTCTACAACTGCAGTCTTCGGAACGCCCGGGCAAAGCCTGCTATGAGCATGGAAGCCTGTTTTCAATGGGCGGGTTGCTAGAAAGACCCGACTGGGGGAGGGCTCGGCGGGGCGGTGTCCGCGGCGACTCCGCCCTTCGCCCGGGTCCCGTTCCCGCCGGGGAGCCCCAGGGCGCCCAGAGCGGCGGGCGCCTGGCCCCAGTCCGCATGCTCAGTAGCCGCGGCCGGCCGGGCTGCGGGGCGGCGTCGGCTGCGCGCCCAGGGGCTGCGGTGGCGGCCGCCGCGGCACCGGGCAGGGCCCGCCAGTCCCCGCTTCCCCGCTCCGGAGCCGCCGCCTGGGCCGGGGCAGGGCGGGCCCGGGGCTCCTCCATGCTGCCAGCCACGGGGCTGCGGAGCCGGCCGGGTGGCTCCTGCGATGGCGGCGGAAGAGGAGGCTGCGGCGGGAGGTGAGGCTGCGGGCGGCGAGACGGCCGCCCCGGGTGGGCGCGCGGCGCCTGACGCGCTGGGGGCGCCTCCGCGACGCCAGGTCTGCCCCCTGTGCCCCGAGGGAAGCGCCCGCCCCTGTTCCCTCGGGCCCGGCGTTGCGTTGCCTCCGAGGGGCGCTGGGACAAGGCCGCCCCTGGGGGCACAGGTGCGGCGCGGCGCCCGGCGCGTCCTCCGGGGCCGCGGCGCGTGGGGAGGGGACCCGGGGTCGCCGCCGGCGCTCAGGACGCTGTATCTGTCGGGGTCCCGAGCCGGGTGCATTGGCGAAAGGGAGCCGGCGACGGACCCTGCACCCTGGGATGGGAGCAGCCGCCTCCTCCCACCGCTGGGAGCCCGCCTCAGCGTCGGCAAGGCTTGCATCCCCGCGGGGACTTTACGTCTCTTCTTTCTTTCGTGTAAAACAATTGTCAGCAGCCGTGGACGGAACCCGGGTCATGCGAACCGCTCCCCTCTGAGCTGAAAAGACTCGCGGCTTCCCGGCTTCAGCGCGCAGGCGGACAGGTGCGCGTGGACTGGGGGCCACACTCCGGGACCGCGACAGCCCTCCGTCAGCGACGCCTTCCACCACTGCAGCTTCAGGAAAGTCGTCAGTGGAGTTAGCTGGTTCGATGATATATTTCTGAGGTATTTTTGTGAACAGAGTAGGAAGTTTGCTGTGCTTTTTCCGTCTCGCTAGTATTCACCGGCCGTATTCTGTGGTTTCTTACAATGGGGCCTTTGGGACTACTGCTCACAATTATGGAATGATTATAAAATAGCTGTTAAGACCAATGGGAGGCAGGAAAACAGAAATAACTAAAGGAAGATTGGCAGAGAAGTTCAGGGAAGCAGTTAATTCTCCCCTTTCCTTTTGGAATAAGGTGATAGAGTTTTAGATACTTCTCTGAAATAAGGCCATGAGAGGAGGTGGCTTTTGAAATTCTAATATAATGTGGGAATTTAGATTGTGGGGAGATTTGAGAAATTCCATCATTTGACTATTTGTAGTTTTAGGTAAATCCTTTGTTGAAAATAGAAGATGGCATGTCTGGTGTTAAGCTCTACACCCTTTTTGCTCAGTCTTGTGATTGAGTTCTGCCCTTTACTGTCTGTGTCACCCAGGTTATTTGAATTCCCTTAGTCTATGTTCTCCCATCTGTAAAATGGAGATAACGATGCAGTCCGCTTTATGGGATTGCTAGGATTAAATTAGATATGAATGCAAATAAAATGCTTAGCCCGATGCTGAGGAAATAGTGTTTCATAAAACATTAGCTTAATGTAGTTATTAATTTACAACTCCAATTTGCTTGTGAAATTGGTGAGTCCTGTCTGGTCCATTAAGAAAGGGAGGAAGAGAGGAAGGGGAAGTGGAAAGGGAAGGGGGGAAGAAAGAAGGAAAAAAATGCACCTACTAATTCGAAGAACAACTTTCTGCAGAGAAGTCTTATGGACTTACGGCATACAAGCTTTTAGATAAAGTTTATTGTTATTTATCTATTTTAGATAAATAGTTCATTGCTCTTTGCATATCAAATGTAAAGTTGGAAATAATAACAATTAAATTTTCTTAGTTAAGGGTAGCAATGTTTCTGTGGAGGCTGGGAGAGCCTGAAGGTATGATAAGTACCTAAGATGTCCCAGACCTTTCACAAGGGGTGCTTCCGTTAGTCTTACAGCAGCTTTGTGATGTAGGTGGTATCTCCATTTCACAGATGAGAAAACTGAGGCTGGCTCACAGTTATACAGCCAGGACGTGACAGAACTAGTTAAAATCCATGGCTCTCAATGATACAGCTTTGGTTTCTTTCCCATCTGAGTTGGTGGTGCTAATGAGCAAGTGTGCTCACTTCCAGACACCTGTTTATCTAAAGAGTGGTAAAAATAAAATAAAATTCTCAATGGAAGTCTCTAGGAAAAAAACAATATATGTATGTTTTTACTATTTCTCCCTATCCCCAGAGGGAAAACATAAACAGGCCTCTGGGCCAGTTGGTGGCCCTCTGCAAAACTGGCCCTAAGGTTTTTGTTTAACAGCATAAGCCAAACTGTGGGTTTCCCCATCCCATCTGTTTTAGATGGTAAACACTGAGATTGAGCATGCTGCCAAGTGACTGGGTGTCCTCCTGATAAATGATTCCAGAATCCTTGGAGTTAGGAAGAGGGCGGTCTTGAGGAGCAGCACATTTCCAAGACTGGTGGCCAGAGATGATCTGGGGTCAAGGCATCTGTGGGGCAGCTTTCTCACCTTCCCTTTTCTTACCATTTCATGTTTTCACCTATGATATTATAAGATTCAACTGTTTTACATGTGGTTCTGCAATTATAGTGGTTTAAATTCATTTCGTGAGTCAGCAATCAAAAGTCATGTCCCAATCAACCTTGCATAAGCTCCTGTTCCTGGCATGGATTCTTGGGCAAAATTTCAGCCAGAAATGCTTGACTCAAGATAAACTAGGATGGGCTAATTAATATTTAAGGCGGAGGAAAAGAGAGAAGGGAAGCGAGAAAGAGTGAGAGAGGAGGGAGAAGAAGGAAGGAGGGCAAGTGTGAAGTAAAGAGAGGAGGAGAGGGAAAAGGAAGAGGAAGGAGAGAGTGAAGGAAGGAGATGGAGGGGAGGGGAGGGACTGACACTCCATCAAAGTTTGACTCCAGGAAAAACAAAAACTAATGTTTAAAATGTGTAGGGAGAGCCAAAATGTCAGTAGGATAAGAGTGATTTCAGTGTACTTTATCCTTGTGAAATGACTTCCTGGTTCTAAAAAGCATGGTGTTGTTCTGTGCTGTGGACACTGAGGTAGCATCCTTTTAAAATCCCCCTTTGTCGTGTTCAGAAAATCATAAATGAGCCAATAACAATTCATTCTAGTAGCCCCAGTTTCAGTTGTCCCATTTAATTGAAGACCTCCACTTCTCTGCAGTGACAATTGAATTACTTGGGTGCTTGGGATCTGGGTCATTAGCATCATCATAGACAGAAGCATTACCAGGGGCCTCAGAGTATGCCATGTGCCTTACAGGAAGCAAAGGTACCTGAGACACCTGCCTACTCTGTGAGACAGTGATTCCCTGCCCTGGTTTTTGCAAGTTTACTACCTGGAGTGGCTCCCCTGGTTCTAAGCATCCCATCCCTCTGTAGCCCCTGCCTTGCCCAGTGCCTCGCCCCTTCCCAGTGGCAAGAGCCTGTGGGAACTAAGAGCCTTCAGTGTAAGCCCTTACTGGGACTGCAGGTGGGATATATTCTCCGTAGTAGCGTGTAGTATTTCTAGATATATACTGATAATTTATGCAATTCTTAGCTATGCATGCCCTGCCCCACCCTGTTTCCTTCTCTTAGTCAGGTGCTGTCATACTTACTGGTCCCTGACACATACTATTTATATTGTATCACACTAGGCTACAATATCCCATTTACCCACCCAGTTTTTTAACTTAAAAAAATTTTTTTTTCAGACAGCATCTCATTCTGTTGCCAGGCTGGAGTGCAGTGGCGCCATCTCGGCTCGCTGCAACCTCCGACTCCCTGGTTCAAGCGATTCCCTGCCTCAGGCTCCCAAGTAGCTGGGACTACAGGTGTGAGCCACCACGCCCAGCTAATTTTTTGTATTTTTTTTTTTTTTTTTTTTTGAGATGGAGTCTCGCTCTGTAGCCCAAGCTAGAGTGCAGTGACGCCTCCCAGGTCCCGGTTCAAACAACTCTCCTACCTCAGCCTCCCAAGCAGCTGGTATTACAGGCACGAGCCGCCATGCCCAGCTAATTTTTGTATTTTTTAGTAGAGACGGGGTTTCACCATGTTGGCCAGGCTGGTCTTGAACTCCTGACCTCGTGATCCACCCGCCTCAGCCTCCCAAAATGCTGGGATTACAGGAGTGAGCCACTGTTCCCGGCCTAATTTTTGTATTTTTTTAGTAGAGATGGGGTTTCCCCATGTTGGCCAGGATGGTCTCGATCTCTTGACCTCGTGGTCTGCCCACCTCGGCCTCCCAAAGTGGTGGGATTACAGGTGCGATCCACCATGCCTGGCCCAACTTAAAATATTTTTAAACCTGGCTGGGTACGGTGGCTCACGCCTGTAATCCCAGCATTTTGAGAGGCTGTGGTAGTCCGATCACTTGAGGTCAGGAGTTCAAGACCAGCCTGGCCAACATGGTGAAACCCCCTCTCTACTAAAAAATACAAAAGTTAGCTGGGTGTTGGTGGTGCATGCCTGTAATCCCAGCTACTCAGGAAGCTGAGGTGGGAGAATCGCTTGAAACCAGGAGGCGGACGTTGTAGTGAGCTGAGATTGTCCCAGTGCACTCCAGCCTGAAAAAAAAGAGTATTTTTAAACTTAAAAAATTATTTTAACTTCTTAAAATCAGTTCAGTTATACAGTGTTAACACTCTCACCAGAAAATACTTAAATGGTTGGCATGATAGGACATTTGATATTTATGTAGCTAAATTATTTGTATTTCTTTTCTCTAGTCTTTAAACTTATGGTTTCAATCTCTAGGTAGTATCATTACAGAGAGATTAAAAACAAAGAAGTCTGAAGGAAAAGGAAATGTAAAGAGAATCATTTTTCTACTCTATGCTTTGCATTAAAGGATATTTAGAATTGAAGGTTAAGACTATTGAAATAAAACAGTCACTTCCAAGACATTCAAAATGTTTTACTTACAACATTTCATGCATTTTTAAGTAGATGAGAAATACACTTTATCATATTTTTCAAGCATAGGGAAAGTAGAGAACCATCTACTACCCTTCTTGACCAAAGTGCCTCCACCTTTACCCCTCTGATATATCCTCTACTCAATTATGTGAAGGGATCTTCCTTTCCCCAATATGCTGTATGCTTTCCCACCTCCAGACCTTTCCTCAGGCTGTTGGCTGTTCCTGGAATGCCCCTGCCCTCCCTCTAGATGGGCCTGGAAAATTTTAACCAATCAGGCTTGAAGGCTGAGCGCAGCTGTCACTTTTTTTTGTATGTGCGGAGAAG